TCCTCCCCACCCCCACCTCTACCCCATTTCTTTTACAAATCAAGTTAAGGCATTCAGGGCTCTATCTTGCTGTTTTAACTGGAGGGGGGGTTATCCACAATAATGCCTTTCTTTGCAAAATCTCTCTTTCTCTCCTTCCATCCTTCCATTCCTCCCCCTCCCCCCCTCCCAAGTCAGACGGAACTGTTTGTGGTTCCACTCCACTGGAGCAAATCACCTAGCTTCTTGGTGCTCCTCCTGATAGCAGCCCAAATCTCCTCGTAACTTGGTAGGTGGGGCTTTCCGGTTCTGCCCTCACTGCAGCTTCTTCACAGCGGCTGGACTCTCATGCAGCACTGAGCACCTAGAAGGCTACCTGGTTGTTAACCATCCTTCTTCAGCTCCTTGAGCCCTTAGGGCCTTCTCTCTGCGGAGCTTAGAGTGACCTTTTCAGCCTCTGCCTGCCCCTCCAACTTCATCTTTGTCACTCCCCTTGTGGCCCTGTTTCTCTGGCCACTCAAAGATGCCTATCTGTGGTTCTGCCAGAGGTCAGCCTCCTGGGTGTCTTTGTTGGTGTATGCTCCTCTCTGCATCCAGAAAGATCATCTAGGGAGGCAGGAATGAAAGCAAGAATATGTCTAGAGCCAAACTGAGAGGTAAGAGGGGTTCGAGGAAGTATAACTAGACAAATGTGTTAATTTGATAATGTTTTGGACAGATGGCAGCTAGAACAAATGAATTGATGGAATGGATTTGGAAACAGAAGGGAAGGAGTGGGTTATGAGAGAGTCCTACATTGATCAGAAATAAACAATGGTTCTGTCTCGGTTAGAGTTTCCACTGCTTTGGAGAACACGTAGCCTTTCTAAAAAGAAAGAGACAGACGAGGGGTGCTCACATACCAGACAGAGGCACTGGACTATCCCTTGGCCGGTCCCTGAGGCTGAAATAAATTAAAATAAAATATAAAAAATTTTCATGAGAAAATTTTCCAGGGCACCTGGAGCATTTATTTCATTAGCATTCAGAGCAGAACAAGATGCAGGCAGCATGGCCCTGGCCCCAGCACTGCCCCCAGCTCAGCTCTCCAAGGGAGATAGGTGCATATTTAAAATAAATATCTCCTGTAGTGATCAAGCTAATTACATGGTAGGTCCACACTTCCTTGAAGACATCAGTGAAATCCCACAGTATCTGAAAAGCCTGCTGGGATCTGATTTCTTGCGTTTCACGTGGCATCTGTGGGACTCATCGTGGACTTGTGTTGCCCAGTCACACTCCCATTTTACCAGCAGCAGGGCACCCATCCTCCTGCAGGACATTTGTTCCTACTTGGGGGCCACTGTGAAGGAGTCTTCTCTGGACCCTCTCAGTCAGCTTTCACTGGATCTTCTGCTTTTTCAGCTGACTTATGGGTTCAGGTGTGCCTAGTTAGTGTTTGATCATCTCACTGAAGTCTAAGGACTCTTGCGCTTTGTTTTTGTGGGTTTTCTTGGAATACATTTGTATCAGACATAAAGCTTTAAATCTCAAACATCAGGAAACCCACACACCAAGCTGGACTAAAGCCTGAAAAGGATGTATTTTTCCCTGTAACTGCAGAGTTCAGCACGGGTCCAGCTTTGGACAAGGTGTGGTCCAGGGGATAAGACGCTCTCAGGCCTGTCTCCGCTTCCTGGCTGCATCTTTCTTCATGCGGATGCCCTTGTTCTCCTCCTGGTTGTTCTTGGAGTAGCAGCAATTGCTACCTCCCTACAGCATCATGCAAGGGAAAACGCCACCTCATAGGAACCAAGGGAACTTCTTCCCACAAGGCCATAGTCAGTGCTGCCTCATATCCAATGTATCCAAACAGAGTGACATACTGATGTCAAGATTGTGTTCCCTGGTTGGCTGGATAGAGCTAGAGATCACCATGGTCATTGAGGGGCGGGGTCCCACCCAGTCACAAGTGGGGCAGGGGTAAGTGAGCTCCTGAAAGGAACCCAGGGAGCTTCTGACTCAGGAAGGAAAGAGACACTAGAGAAGCAACCTCAAAGTGTTCAACACGGCCGGGCATTGGTGGCGCACGCCTTTAATCCCAGCACTTGGGAGGCAGAGGCAGGAGGATCTCTGTGAGTTCGAGGCCAGCCTGGTCTACAAGAGCAAGTTCCAGGACAGCCTCCAAAGCCACAGAGAAACCCTGTCTCGAAAAAACCAAAAAAAAAAAAAAAAGTGTTCAACACGACAGCCAGAATACGGGTCCTTTCCCATTTACACCAAGTGACAAGGAGGGTTTTAAGCTTCATCAGGGGCTCTGGGAATGGTGTCTATAAAGCAGAGAGGCAGCAAGAAGGAAGCAAATGCTCCTTCCTCTGGCATCCGAGGGAAAGGAGCTGGAGTCTAGGCTTATGGATAGCCATGGATGGAGAAGGGAGGGGACTAAGCCAAGAGATGAGGAGTGGGTCCGGGCATGTGAGAAGGTGACAGTTACTCGCTGCCGTCTTGAGCCAGTACAAGTTTATCACCTAAGAGTTCTGTAAGTCTGTCTTAAGAGAGTCAGGAGGCAGTTGGCCTGCATCCTCGTTCAAGCTTACTTAAGCTGTTGGGTGAATTCCCTGCCTTGTGATTACGGGACTGAAGTTCTCATTGTGTTTTGTTTTTTTCATGTTAGCTGTCAGCTCTGGCTTGCCTTCAGGTCCTAGCTGCATGGCCCTGTCACAGCATGTTAGGGTCTCTTGTCAAGGCCAGTAGATGATCTTTTCCCTTCTCCAGAGTTTTACAACATTGTTCAATCATGGGAGGACCTCTGAGAAGCAGTCTGTGAAAAAGATCTTAAAAATAGAGCAGCATCAGCACCATACCTACCTCCCCCCACCCCACTCCAACCTGAGCAGAAAGCCTGCCCGTGAAGGACTGGCTCAGGCTGCTATCAGGAATAGTGGGAGCTCAGTGCTTTGTGGAGTGGCAACAGTCCCCTGGAGTCGTAACAGCTACTCTGTCTACTATGAGACTGGGAGAGCATAAAGGGCTGTGGGGATGACCGGGGGTCTGTAGCTTCAGGTGGTACCTCCCAGCTCAGTTTCTGTGTTGTTCACGGTGCCTTAACACTTGGCAATAATTACAAATTATTCATCAGGTTTCTTTTTCTCGTACTCAGTCCACGAAGGGGGATGGAGGTCTGTAAATGCCTTGTGAGGTGTGCAGCACATCTTGGTAAAATATGCTGCCAGAACAGACTTCAGTGAAAGGAGATGATGTGATGGGCTGAACAAATGCCTTCATTTTCCATTGTGCAAATCCCCCAATCATATTACAGTTAAAATATGTGCAAAGGATTAACCAATGGGTTATTATTCATAACTTGTTTTTATAACCTAGACTATGGGAATGAACTAAACACTGACCAGCTGAAGATCAGCTGCAGATAAACTTTAGAGTCAACTGAACCTTGGTGTAAATGCCAGCATTGTTAGTAGGCAGTGTCTTTGTTGTCTTAGGCAAGTTAGTAACCTTGTATCTACAGTTTCCTTATTTATAAAACAAAGCAATTCCTACCTTGTATCATTGTTAGAAGGATAAGGTATAACGAATACATAGTGTCTCTGCATAAAATTGAAAAAAAAATAGCTTTTAACTAAAAAGAAAAAGTCAGCTGTAGAGCCAGTGAGATGGCTCAGCAGGTAAAGACACCTGCCACCAAAACCAGAGTTCAGCCCCAGGAACTTCCAAGGTGAGAGGAGAGTGCTGACTCCTGCTAGTTGTCCTCTGACCCCCACACAAATATCACTGCATGTGCATGCCCTCCACAAATAAACATAATTTTAAAAATTCAAATATCAGTTGCAGTATACATATATAGTGAAGCACCCTACATCAAAAGAAGATGCCACATTCAGGGCATGGCAAAGCCATTCCAAATGTGATTCCACAGCACCTGTGGCCACCTGCACTGGGCCTGTCAACAGCCAGTCGTGGATCAAGGAGGATCTCACAGAGGCCTTTCTCCTCCCAGTCGAACTAGTGGTCCCTGGTAGATTCTAGGAATGGGACAGTCACCATCTTCAGTAATGGATCAACCCTCCAGAATCTGATGGCAGTTTCAAGTCCTAGGCACCCGGTTGAACTCGTGGTCCCTGGCAGATTCTAGGAACGGGACAGTCACAACCTTCAGTAGTGGATCAACCCTCCAGAATCCAATGGCAGTTTTAAGTCCTAGGCACTCAGACGGTCCTGGTTAAAAATAAGTGGGTACCAAAACCAAAAGACATGAATCAAGGAGGAGAGCTGTAGGAAAGAGTGGGGCATGATGGGTGGGAGGAAGAGGCAAAAGGAAGGGAGAAAGACTAGGCAGAACGTGCTACATTCATTTATGGAAATTGTCAAAGAACGCAGTTAGTCAAGATGGAAAAGAAGGCCAAATGAAAGGTTGAGAGAGAGCCGGGCGGTGGTGGCTCACGCCTTTAATCCCAGCACTCGGGAGGCAGAGGCAGGCGGATCTTTGTGCGTTCGAGGCCAGGCTGGACCGATAGCCTCCGAAACAATACAGAGAAACCCTGTCTCGTAAAAACCAAAAAAAGAGAAAGGTTGAGAGCATTATTCAATGGTAGAGCACTTGCTGAGCAGATGTTTGACTCCCTAACACACACACACACACACAGTCACACACGCACGCATGCACACGCATGCACGAACACATGCACGCGTGCGTTTGTTTACATTGGAAAGTGGAAAACCAGAAAAGAACATTGAATTGCCTGGGAAAGGTGGCCTATAAACCCCATGATATTCAACTCCTCTTTGTCAAATCAGCACCCATTGCTATGGACAGCAGCACCCATCATGCACACAAACATCTGGAGAGGTATAATCAACATCATCACCACACTTGGCTGGGATGAGGGTCATTTGAATGTTTTCTTGTTGTCTGGAAGGGGGCTCATCATCCCGGATGTCTGTGAGATGGAGAGCAAGTTCTGGTGGCCAGAGGGAAGGGAGGGAAAAGTGCTTGTCTCTGTGCTGACTTTGGTCCAACTTTGCAGGTGATCGTGAAGACAAGAACAGAGTACCAGCCGGAGCAGAGGAGCAAAGGGAAGTTCCGAGTGCCGAAGATTGCTGAGTTTACGGTCAGTTCCTCGGCAGGGTGACAAGAAACGGGGAAAGGTGGCACTTGCTGGAGGCACAGGGACATTTGTGGAGGAGGAAAATGGTACAGGCTATTTCAGGAGGGATTCTGGAAGTCACATGGGCTCCACCACTGAGGTTCATCACAGGACAAGAGCTCATCCTGGGCTCTTCAGTTCCGACAAACTGATGGCTGATGAAGGCTGTCTACAGCCTCTCATTTTTTTTGCCCTCTTCTTCCTGCATTTTCATTACAGCCTTCATGAGATGTGACAGGAATGTGTGAAGAAAGAGAAGCTGACAGATACAAACCAGTGGGTTTCTTTGGGGTGGGGTAGGTGGGGTGGACAGAGCAGTAAAGCATGCTGTGAGCAGAGGAAAGGAAAGCTGAGGTTAGAGCCTGGGAACTGACAGGATCGGGAGGCCAGCATTCAGCAGCAAGGGTGCGGGGCTCTGAGAGAGCATAGCTTATACAAAGGCCCTGAGGCTGTAGGAATGTTAGCATCAATAGGACCAAGGATGATGAGGCTGTGTTCTGGGAAAGGGGTGGGGAGAAAACAGTTAAGTCAGACGTGGGTAGGGTGCAGAGTCCCAAGTCTCGTGGGCCATGTGGATGAACCTTAGGTTGTTTGTGGACAGCTATAGGAAGCCTCTGAAGGACTGTAAGTAGAGGAGAGATGTGACTGAATTTGGGTCTTAAAAAGATTGCGTCATCTTTCACATAATGACGTGCAGTGGGCAAGAAGTTAAATGGGAGATGGTTTGGCTACAATAATTGTCCAAGTAAAAATCTGCAGTGGTCCAGACAAGACTAGTAAATGGATAGTGAAGAAAACAGACCCAAAGGCTAAAAGTGAACACTGCCCTTGGTCATCTGGGGACTGGAGTGGGTTTCTTTCTGCCCTCGATAATCTCACTTTGCACTAAATCTCTGAGTGGCCGTGTGTGTGAGCCTGGATGCTAACTCCCTCATGAAGCTGGGACTGTTCATTTACTGTCACCTTAACTTCCGCTGTGCAGTGTGGGCCTAGGGAACGTGGTTACTGGCTCCTGCTGTGTGCGGCTACCTGCAGGGAACGAGCACAGAGGTCTGAGGAGAAAGCAGGGATCGTGATGACAATGTGGACGTATGTGACCCTGGTGCAGAATTGACTTGTCCTGGCAACAGAGTTCACAACAAAATGCCCAGAGTCCCACATAAGAATGCTTGCTCTCTCTCTCTCTCTCTCTCTCTCTCTCTCTCTCTATATATATATATATATATATATATATATGTATATGTACATATATACATACACACACATAATATATATTGACTCTCTACCTTCTCCTTGATTTCATATATAAAACCATAGCTCTATAACAGACTATTTTATAAATTCTCAAGGTTTACTTTTTCAGGCTGGCAAGATACCTTGCTCAGCAGGTGAGAAGCATGGAGACCTAAGTTCAACTCTTAGAATCCACATAAAGGAGAGAGAACCAACTCCATAGAGTTGTCCCCTGACTGCACATGCTTGCCTTGGCATACACAGAGAGAGAGAGAGAGAGAGAGAGAGAGAGAGAGAGAGAGAGAGAGAGAGAGAGAGAGAGAGAGCAGAGAGCAGAGAGCAGAGAGACAGAGGAGAGAGAGAGAGAGGAGAGAAACAGAGAAGAAACAGACACAGAGAGAAAGGGGGGAGACTGGTATAAACCCCATCAGTCAAAGGGGAACTGTGGCTCAGAGAAATGATTTAATCCCCTGGCCCAGGTACCCAGTGTCCAGGTCAGCATTGAAGCTGGGCCTGCCTGGTCTTTCTGCCTGCAGTTGATTGCTCCAGACAGAGCAGAAATGAGTCAGCTAAGAGAATGAACAAGGGTGGCTCAACCAGGGTCCAGGCCCATGGAAAGCCCCTCACGCAGTTTGGCCCACTTGTGCCTTGGGTCAGCGCTGGAAGAAGAGACTGTGGTTTTACAGCAGCCCTTAGTGAGCACTGTCTGTCAGGTGTAGGCGGGGACAAGCCCTGCCTTCTGGAACAAAAGGGTGGGGGTGGGGGGGGTGAGGCAGACTCTCATTTGCTTATGTAAAGCTTGAAATGTTAATTAGCCTGGTTTCCAGCTTTCTTCAGAGAGCTTCCTCTGGGCTTTGTGGAATATACATCTGCTGGCTGGAGGGTGGTGCGGGAGGAGGCTGAGGAGGTTGTGGGGTAATTAAGAAGAGTCTGAGGGTCTTCCATGAGTAAGCTCACTGGGGCTCAGGGAGCCGCCAAGGCTGCTGTGGGAGCAGAATCATGAAACTCATTTTTGCCTGGGAAGGAGGATTGGACTCCTCTGACTGGACCCATGGGATACCTTCCAAGCAGGCAAGAGGCTGGGAAGGTGTTCTCAGCCTAGAGCTACCGTAGTGGGTGGAGGAGGTAGCCTTGCTATCCTTAGATGTGCCTGGAGCTCTGGTGGAGGCTTCATCTGGAGAAGCAGAGCTGGGGGTGCAGCACTTACAGATAGCCTTAGAGAGAGCTTGGTGCTGACAAGCAGCAACTGCCCACCCCTGCCCACCCCATGCACTCTTTTTCCTGAATCTGAAGACGTTCTTGCAGTCATTGCAAAAGGCTTGAAGAGTGTCTGCAGGCTAAGGAACAAATCCTTCCTTCCTGAGACCTGGGAGCTGGGGATGTCATGAAACTGCCTTTGCTGCAGAGTGTAATGATGTTCTGGAACGTTCTGGTGTCGTAGCCATGGCACTGCTGAGGAAAGCACTGGTGCACAGATGAACTGTGCTGTGGAGGAATGGATGTCACAGATGTGGTGTCCTGGGAGGCTCTGGTGCTGGGGGGTGCCACGGACTATCCCCAGCCGGGCATGGGAGTCCCTGGGATCAGGGTCCTAGGATTCGGCGGTGTCAAACAGAAACAAACACAGAGGCAGTTTGAATCTGAGTGTATTTTGCAGCTTTTTAGCAAGGCTTTTTATCCAGGACAAAACATATCTTCTCAGAGTTTGTGTTCAGTGAAGCAGACAAATGACATCATCGTTACTAGGCATAGTAACACACAACTTATCCAAGGCTAAAACAATAAATCAGAAAATCCTCCAAGGCTAGCCGCAGCTAACCGCCTATTTCTAAGATGATGTTAATAAATTTTTATGGTCACTTATTGTTTGACATCTGTTACCTAGTTCTTGTGAGTCTTTGAAATATTGAGCTATTTTGACTTTTCTTATTAAAAAGCTTTCTTATTAAAAACTTTCTTTACCAAACATTTAAACCCACTCTCAATCACACATGTACAGCCATATGAATTTTTATTGTTGGGAATGTTTTTATCAGTATTTATTTGTACTTACGTGAATGATGTGAATGACTTGAAAAAACGCTGGTTTTTCTGGAGATGAGGTCATGGTCAGTGACCACGTCTCAGGGGATGGTTTCTCATTTATATCTTTTGTTTAAAATGTAAGCATAGGCATTCAGGAACTTTTCGTTACTATGAGAAAAGAATATAAGAGCAGAGATTGCCATGAGAACTATGGCTCAACAGTTTTCTCCGGCCGAGAGTTCCACAACCGTTTCCAGGAGACCTCCTTTTGAAGTGGAACTTGTCACACATAATCTGCTGGATTTGGTGTGGCAGGGGTGGTGCTGGTGGCACAGAAGGCAGTGACACTTTGGAAGGCGTTCTAGAAGGAGGTCCCGTTGGTGAGGGTCCTGGGCTATGAGATGATGACAGAATGGAAGGCAATGTGCTGTCCAAGGCTTATGGCGTCACGGAGAATATAGTATTATGGAGATATGCGTACTGTTGAAGGGTCTCCTGCTATGGAAGATTCTGGTACTGTGGAAGCAGCAGCGCCTCGGAAGGTCCTGTTGCTACAGGAAGTCTTGGTGCTAAGGGAAGTAGTGGTCTTGAGAAAGAGGCAGGTGCTGTGCATGTGTTGATGCCAACAAGGATGTTGGCACTATCAGCAGTGCTGGCGCTAAGGCTGTTGCTGTTGCTGTAGAAGGCTGGAGTGCTGCAGAGAGTACTGGTCCATGAACAGTGCTGGCACTGTGGACAGTCACAGTGACACAGAGGGTTGTTGCTCTAGAGCTTAAGTTCCTGGAATACTCTGGGTGCTAAATAAATGCTCACTTAGCTCCTTTGCAGTTGTTCCCTTTTCTTCCCATTTGGTTCCTAGCCTACTGTCCAGGAAGCTGGATTTGTCTCTTGGTTGGCCTCTGAGACTTTCTTTTCCTTCCCGTTGGGGATATATCAGGGAGACGCAGAGGAGCCGTTGAAGGCTGTAACAGCCAGTTCAATGTGAGGATCCGTAGGTGACCCCTGCTTTGTAACAGTGACCTCTAGAAGCTATTTTTCATTATCTTTTATTGAATTTGTTCTTTGACAACTTCGTGCATAGATGTAGTACCTTCTGTTTACTATAACCCTTAACCTCCCTTTCTTCCTTCCCTGCAATACAGCTGTGATCTCACAGCAGCCATAGCTACCTACTGTAAGGAAGGTTGGTTTCTTGGAGTCATCAGTATTGGGCACACCCAGATACCAAATTCCAAGCACAAAGGAGATGTATTACCCTGAAGGAGCAAGCAGGGGTGAAGAGGGGTGGGGGTGCCTCTGGAGTGGACAAAGGCAGACAGGAAGTTGCAGGAGCATGTGTTCCTGAGGAGTGGATTTTTAAGGAGAAAGGGGGAATCTGCTAGAGTGAGTTGGTTTATCCTGCTTGGACATGCTAGCCAAATAATGAATTTTGATAGTTGGACCTTGATGTTTTGACTCAGATGTGGCTAAATGAGGGAATGGACTTTGGGGGGCTAGCTTTAGGAATGTAATCTAATGGTTTTTAGCAAGGGAGAGGGAAAGGACAAAACCTACCGTCACCATGTTTGCTGTGCTTGGGCCTGTTGGTGCTCTTCACCTACAATGGACTGAATAATACTAGGTCTATCAACGGCCAGTTTACATTGGGGAGGGGTCCACATGGCACATGGCCCTCCCCTCCCTCCTGAACTATGGGATATAGATGG